AAAATTAAGATTCCTATTTTATTTTATTTTATTATTTTTTAAAGCATTTTATTATAGCTTTAACATACTCAATAACAGTTTCCAGAGCAAAAATACATTTCTTTCAAAAGTGACTATACAATTTTTAGGTTCACTGTTTTTATTTTATGTGTATGAGTATTTTGCCTTCATGCATATATATGCACCATGTGTGTGCACTGCCCATGGAAGCCAGAGGGGATGTCACATCCCCTGAAGCTGAAGTTCCAGACAGTCATGAGCTGCCATGTGGGTGCTGGGAACCAAACCCAGCTCCTCTGCAAGAGCAGCAGGCGCTCTTAACCACCGAGTCAACTCTCCAGCCCAGTCCTCCTTTTTGAGAGTATTCTTAACAGATCAAAGTGATTCTTAAGAGTGAGCAATGTTTCCTGCTATTTAAAATTTCACAATTCCCTTCTTAGGCACAGCACACCCACGATGCCATCACAGAGGCTGCACAGCTGATGAAAGAAGCTGTGGATGACATCATGGTGACACTGAATGAAGCTGCCAGTGAAGTCGGGCTGGTGGGAGGCATGGTGGATGCCATTGCAGAGGCCCTGAGCAAGGTGGGTGTGGGCTGCCAGACCCCTCTAGAATTTCTACTATATGCTCCTCAGTCTCTCCTACACCATCCCTAAGTGCTGTTCTCTGATGGGCTGACTACCAGTCAAGACTGAAACCAGCAAGTCTTCTTATCCTGAGGGTTGTACATTATGTGTAGGTGACCAGTCATAGATCCAACATATTATTCCTCCTTGAGTATTAATTCATCACCTTTGTAAGCCAGCTGCACTAGTCTTTCCATTTTACATTTTAAAAATGGACATGGTGAAGGCATCACTGGCTTCCTCATTTGTAAAATGGAAATAATTATTTACATCTTGTGTCTACTTCATAGATCTGTGATGGGAAACAAACTCCAGCATGAAGTCAAGAAGTGATGTCATTGTGTTTGGCTTTTGAATGACTACTTTGGAATCAGGGAACTTTCTAGAATGCAAACTCTTGAACTTTACCCCTGACCTGCAGTCTTAGCGAAGTGGAGCCTAGGAATCTTTACTGGATGTTTTTTTTAAACCTCATGCTTCTGATATGTTGTCAAATGTAGAAACCACTAAATAGAGCATGTAAAAGCTCTTGGACTCTCTCAGAGGAACTAGGCATGGATGATAACATGAGTCAGTAGGAAATACGACTAGAGATGTTTTCAACTCTGTGTTCCCTACTCTTCCTGCAAGGATTCCTTCTGTAACATGTCCTTTTGGTATTGATAAGGTAAACAATTGTTCATCATCATCTAACTGCCATCCTGGGATAGTACAGACAAGAGTCTTAGGCACCACCTGGGTTTTGGAATGCCCACTGTCAGATTATGACTACATCAATATAGTATTTCAGGATAATAAGTGATCATGCTGAATGAATGAATCCACAACCTAACCCTCACTTTATCTGCAGGGTCTGTGCTATGATGGAGATACTTGGTACCATCTGTCTTCCTGTGAAAAAAGCCTTGAGCATTTCCCCAGAATTTCATAAAAGTTGCATCCCAGGGTGTACAGCCACAGGTTGCATGGGCTCCACGGATACATTTATTTCACTCTCAGCATAGCTTGTGCCTGCTTATGCCATGTAGTACTTTAACACACCCTCTAACATTTTCCTAGTTAACTTCTTAGTATGAACTCTCCTTCCTGATCCCAAACCATGTGGCAAAGAGTTTCCGGGAAAATTTTTCTCAAAATATGTGATTGCCTACTAAGTTCCATATCTTCATCATGATTAGAAGGCTGTCCCCAGGGCTGGAAAGGTGGTTCAGCTGTTAAGAGCACTGGCTGCTCTTGCAGAGGTCACATTTCGATTCCAAGCACCCACATGGCAACTAACGACTGTTTATAACTCTAGTTCTAAGAGGATCAGACACCCCTCCACAGGCATTGCATGACACGGATGCACTTACATGCATGCAGACTAATAAATAAAATATTTAAAGGCTGTTCTCTCTGTCTTGGGTACCTTCCCCAGCTTTTATATGGGTAGCCTCCTCCTCATCTGGTAAGACTTCTCTAAAGCATCCTTCCTCTAGAATCTCTCCCACTCCTTTCAGATAAAACTGGGTCCTCATCTTTCGTGAGTCCCCTGAGTACTTTAAATGCACCTCCATTGGAGTCCTGATTAGAGAAGTTTGAGCACTAAATTGAGTGTCAACCAAGCAACCTCTGAGGGGCCTCTCCATTCTTTTAAGTTTCTGATTCTAACAAATTCATTTCACTCTTCACTAGACTTCTATGACTTCTGGGCTCTTTTCTTCTTTTCTGCAGCTGGATGAAGGCACACCTCCAGAACCAAAGGGAACATTTGTTGACTACCAGACAACTGTGGTCAAATACTCCAAAGCCATTGCTGTCACAGCTCAGGAAATGGTAAGAAGAAAAAGAACTGCCCTGCCCACTATGGGTTGCTCTTACATCCTCCACCACCACCTGAGTCCTTGAACCTAGGATTGTGTTAGAGACAGTGGCCAGCCCATATTTCTAGTTCCCCCTGGAAGCTAGCTCTTACCATCTCTCTGGTTGCCAATGATATGGAAGCCCCAGACTGCTGGAGTTTTCATCTCAGAAAAAACAAAAAGGAATTAAAGTTGAGATTTGTTCATAAGGACAGGGAGCAAAGAGAGGAGATGACCCAAGAGAAAGCAGGAAATGAGAAAGAAAATGGAGTTGAAAAGAAAAGACTCCCACTCACCTCTGAAAAGATTTGAGGCATTTTTATAGATTAAAGGAAAGTAGTCTAGTATAAAGAAGGCAGCCAGGTATGGCTGTTCATAACTCTACATATGGCGTATGCCCTTAATCCCAGCACTCAGGAGGCAGAGGCAAGGGGATCTCTGTGAGACATAGTGAGTTATAGGCCAGCTGGGGCTATAGGAGACCTGCCTCAAAAGAGGAGGGCAAGTAACTTGGGAGTAAAGTAGTAAAGAGGTGAGATTATCTGATAGAGTCAAAGTGTAATACTTGAGCTGTTGGTCAGGTTTTGTCACTCTTTCAGGCAAAATCAAATTGTGGGGTTTTTTTGTTTCTTTCTTTCTTTCTTTCTTTTTTAATTCCTGACAGCAGAAGGCCTTCAACTTTTGAAAGTAATTTTTTCACTAAAACATAATGCAAGCAGAATTGCATTATTGGATCATTATAAGTAGCACTGGAAAATAGTGCATGTTCCTTCAATGGAAAAAAAGTTCTACGAGGGCTGGTGAGCTGGCTCAGGAAAAGGCATCTACTGGTCCTGACAGCCTGAATTCAATTCCCTGGATCCCCAAGGTGGAGAAAAAGAACTGATTCCAACAAGTTGCACACACACATATTCACAAAAATAGAAAAAAATACATTACATGAACAATGACAAATGCCATCTTGGGAGACTTGATAGGACCAGAAAGAAAATATCCTTCTCAACTTGAAGGCTCAGATGCTGTGGAATAAAAAGACTTTCCACATTACCCTGAGTTGGGAATTCAAGTAGCCTTCCCAGTTGGAGGGACAGAATAAGCTAACACATACCTCCTGTCCCATGGTGATGGCCTAAGCACCTCTCTCACTGGTTCTGTCATGTAATTGTGTGTCCACTAGAGGTTGAGCTTGGACCACAAAGGCTTCCCTGCTTGCTCTGCTCATGTAAGGAAACTCTGCCAGGCCTGTTGTTTCAAAGAATTTGGCCTGAGGAAGGAGGGAGCAATAGCCATCATCTCCAGTCCTATGACCAGGTGGAGTTGCCCCAGGCCGGTCCTTTCAAGGGAGAAAGGAGGGCAAATCAAAAGTCTCTTGCCTGTAGTACAGCAGGAAGAGAAGGCATTTTGAGTGGCCTTGTGGCATTTCTGAAATGTCTTCTGGGCCAGGCTTTAGGCTAGCCTGTCTTGTCCTGTGGTGCCTATGATCCAAGGATCCCAATCTCTGGCTGCATAGCCCATCCTGAGATAGATAACTTGGCTTTTGAGTTGGAGAAAGGCATGCTTCACCTGGTGAAGAATCTTTGTGTTCCTGTTGGCAGAGTGCAAATGGTACAGCTCATGACACCGTTTCAGTCTTTGGGATTTGGCATGTGCTCTTTGAAACCCACTCTTGGACTTGAGGCCAGTGGCATTGTGACTTATAAACAAACCTTAGATGGGACAAGCATTTCCATCTCAATAGATAAGGAGTTATTAAAAAGGGCTTTTTAAAAGCCCTTTAATCTGGGCATGGTGGCACCAGCAAACCAGATGACCTGAGTTCACACACACATATGCTAAATAAGTATTTAAAAAGAAAAAAATTTAAAGGCCTCAAAGAGAGAGAAAAAGAGGGACTTATTCTGCCAAGACTACTAAGAATTATTCTGCTAGGCCTCCTGTCCACTTGCCCATCTCCCTCTTAAGAGTGGGAAAAGAGAAGCTGCAAAGATGGCTCAGTAGTTCAGAGCATATACTGCTCTTGCAGAAGACCCAAGTTCGGTTCCCAGCACTCTCTTCATGTGACTCCCAACCACCTATAACTCCAGCTCCAGGGGATCTGCACATACTCACATAAATACACATAATTAAAAATAAGAATAAGATCCTTTAAAAAAATAGAGTGAGAAAAGAGACAGGCAGGGGTGAAATCCCTTGAAGAGAGACGCAGGCAATTTTTAGGTAACAAGTTAACACTGTTGTTAGGGGAATTAATTGGCCCTTTTTATTCATGGAAAGATACAAAACTTGAAGCTAATGTTGAGTAAATAAGATTTAACTGACACATGGTGTTCTGAGGCCCAGGGGGAAAGACTGCACTGACCACAGAAAGGTAGAACTTGACCATGGGGATCGCGGTGTTCTTATCCAAGTTTCTGGTGTACACCTTCTCATGCTTTAGGACAAATTCACCCAGAATTGCATTCTTTAAGAATCTTCCTCTAGAATGTTGGCTTCTCCACCATGCCTCATTCATGACTGTAACAGCCCTATCCTCAGACCCTCTCCTACCCAGTTGAGACCTGCTTCTGGGAACCCAGATACTAGAGCAGCTCCCTGTAGAACCTGGTTCAGGGTGTGCCATTCACAAGACTTGTTCCCCTGGTGGTTCCTCGTGGAATTCCTCTGGTGCCCTCCTAGGACAGCTCCTGAGAGTGGCCCCTGGAGGAAGGGGGTCCATGCTGCATGGTCTGCATGCTGAGCATGTGCCCATCTGGCCTAGCCAGGAGCTGCTGGCCTGAGAGGCCCTGCAGGGTGGTCACAGCCTTGGCCTGTTATGTATGATGCAGCATGGGCTTTGCTTGAACTGCCCTCCCCAGCATCTGGCCCTCAATGCAAGGCTAGGCCTTCACCTTACCTAGGGGCTAAAAGTGAATGAAACTCTGGCTTCCCCGGGTATTAACACATGGTCTGATGCTTCTTTTTGTATGTGTATGTGTATGTATGTATGTATTTGTGTCTTGCTTGTTTTCTTTTTCCAGATGACTAAGTCGGTTACTAACCCGGAGGAGTTGGGAGGCCTGGCTTCACAAATGACCAGTGACTATGGGCACCTGGCTCTCCAGGGCCAGATGGCAGCAGCCACCGCCGAACCAGAGGAGGTCTGCCACCTTAAGGCCCTTATTTTAAGAAGCAAACTCACAGTGGTTCCCACCCTGTGGGGGTGGGCGGAGTACCCTGTAGCTCTACTCCAGAAGACCCCAGCCCCGTAGCCCGAAGCAGGTTTCATTCCCACTACTGTATAGTGATGCCCCAACTTCATACAGATACCCCAAAATTGTGGTCCAGACTTGGGCCCTTACTGAGGCCAGCTGGCCAAGATCCAGAGCAGCCTGGGGAGTGTGCTCTCAGACAGAAGGGCTCTGTTTGCATTTTTCTGGCAGGCCCATTACACCTGGCCATCACCCTCCTTAAATGCCCAAACCAAGGGCCTCCACCTTCCTGCTTTCTGCTCCCCCTTAGCACGTCCCACCAGTCATGTTTATGTTTTCCAAAGGCTCCCAAAGTGTTAGAAGATACACATGTGGGATTTCACTTCCCTTCTCTTGAGAAAAACCAGCTTTTCATGACACAAAGCCTTAACTGTAGGTTCTTCAGGACCCCCTGCTTCCCTCATACCTTTCCATTGAGGCCAGCATGGACTTTGCCTCAGCAAGCCTCTACCCATAAGGCTGTTTGAATGGCAAAATTTGGTCACTTTCAAAGAACTATGGTCTCTGAAAGTTGTGAAGAATGGAATGGTCCCCTGGGAAGATACCCCACAGCTGATGGCACCTGTGTTAGTGTGAACATTCAGAAAGGTGTCTAGGGCTCAGGAAACTGCCTCCCTAGAGAAAGAAAGATCAGTCTTGAAATACAAAATGAAGGCAGTATCATAGGAGCACTAGGGAGACACAGGTAACCTCATTCTGTGAAATTCAGCAAGCTTTCTATTGAATGTAAGCCCTGTTTAGTATGTTCCTAAGTGCCCATGGCTGTGGAGGCCACAGGTTGTAACTGGCCTGTGCTTCTCCTTGCAATGGTAGTCACTGTCCCTCAGTTACCTGATGCTGCTGATTCCTCTTCAAGTCAGGCCCAAGTGTGTCTGCAGAAATGAAGACCCCAGACACATCACTTTCCAATGTGTGTTTTAACAGTGCATGTGTTCTAGTTACTTTCTATTGCTGAGATAAAAACACTGACCAAAACCAACTTGGGGAGGAAAGAGTTTATTTGGCCTATAGCACAGTTCATCAAAAAGGAAAACCAAGGCAGGAACTCCAGGAAGGGACTTGGAGGACAGACCATGGAGCTACACTGCTTACTGATATGCTCCTCTGACCCATGCTCAGCCTACTTTCTTATACAACACAGGCCGGCCTGCACAGTGGTGGCACTGCTCACAGTGGACAGAGCCCTCCCACATAACTCAGCAATCAAGAAAATGTCCTACAGACGTGGTTACAGGCCAGTCCAATGGAGGAAGTTCCTCAGTTGAGGTTCCCTCTACCCACCCACGTGTGTCCAGTTGACAACTGAAGCTATACAGCACAGCATGCAAACAGGCATATCATATATATGGACTTACATACATATATATCTAAGCATGGAGTTCCTTCAGTTTCTAACTGTGCCCCGTTTTCCGTTTGCAGAATGATTATTTAGGCTGTAGCATGAATAAGTATGTTTCTAATAATTACGTTAAGTCAACAAGAAAGAACAGCTATCAGATACCTGCATCCTGATTTCTTATACACAGGCTCATCTTCAAAAAAAAAAAGGCTCCCTGTTTTAGTAAGACCAGACTAGAATTCTAGTCTGTAATTTATGTAGACATATAATTCATTTGCTCACCATGTAATTTTGAATTTCATAAACAAATAGAGAGCTTGTGTTACAGTAAGGAAAAGTTTGGACAAAAGGACAAAAGTGTTTGGCTTTGCTAGGAGATTAAAAACAGAAACCATGATTGCCAGGGAGACTTGGACCTCTCTCCACAGAAAGATCTGCACACAGAATCCACCTTCATCTGTCTGGGGAGCTTGGAACACTGGCCTGCCCAAGTGATCTGTGGAGCCTTTTCCATGTATGAGCTGCCCACCCCATGTAGGAAGCAAGGAGAGCTCCTTACTACAGTGTAGAATATAAAATAACATGAAGGCAGTCAGGAAAGAGAATGTATTGCTAAATGCACAACAAGTTACCTTATGCTGGTCCTGGGTTTTAGTTGTTGACATTTTCATTAAGGTTTGCCAATTTCACTGTGACATCTTAAGATGGGTTTTACAGTCCAGGCATGAGAGCCGTATGACCCAGAGCCACAGAGGGCAGAGAGAATATAAAATTACCAGTGGCTTGTACAGGAGAATTATTTGTGTGCATTTGTCAGACAGATGCTTGAGGGGAAGCTGAGAAGGTTAGGAGATCTCTGGAGCACTCACTGTAAGGTGGTTTTTTGTATTAATATACCAAAATTTTAGAAGTTATTTGTGTATTCGAGAGGGCCCCACATCCCAGCATGTGAAAATATTTACATCCAGGGCAAGGGGTAAGCCTTTCCTGCGGTGTGCCTTGCTGAGTCAGCGTTCTGGTCTTTTCCACAATGTGACAATTACAGGAAAAGTCAGAGTTCTGTCCTCAAACATCAAGCAGGATCTTTCTCTGCTTATTTTTCTATGGAAAACTCAAAGCCTTTGTTACACAGTGATATGAACAAAGGCTTTGAGTTTTTCATGGAAAAATAAGATATCACTGTGGAAAATATCTTCAGAAAAATGAAAAGCCTTCTGTCAGTTTTGCAACTTAAGATTAGTTTCCTCTTTGTAAAACAAAGAGTGGGGAGGTCAGAAAGATGGCCCAGTTAGTAAAGTGTTGTGCAAATATGCGACCCACAGTTCAGATCCCCAGCACCCACTGAAGAAACTGGTTATGGCTGCATGCGCTTGTAATCCTAGCACTGAGGAGGGGGTGACAGGAAGATCCCTGGTTAGCTTACTGGCTATCCAGTCCAGCCAAACCATTAATTTCCAAGTTCAGTGAGAGAACTTGTCTCAAAAAATACGGTGAAGATCGAGGAAGACACTCAACAATGACCTGTGGCCTGCGCCGCGCGTGCGCACACACAGACACACACACACACACACACACACACATCTGATAAGAGAGGGAAAGAGGGGAGGGAGGGGGAGGGGAGGGAGAGAGGAAGGAAAGAGAAGAGACTGAGGTCCTAGGAGCCAGAACTCCAAAATGTAAGTCCTGGAGGGAAGATTTAGTGACTGTAGCTCTGTCTCTGGGGAAAATTCTCCTGTAAGCACTTGCAATGCTGAGTGTCTTAAAAGCCAGGGAGAGCATATTTGTTAAGTGCCTACAGCAGGAGCCCCCCCCGCCCCGGCCCCTGCCAGGTGGGATGGACATGTACTCTCTGGCTCATTCTAAAACTTTCCACCCCAGGATTCAATCCCTGGAGGTGAGGGAGTGATGCTGTGCATCTAAATTTTTTTTTTCTATGTTTGTCAGACAGTTCTGATACTGCTCTTTAACTCTCACAAGCTCTCCGAGGTAATTCTGGACCTGGTTGTTTTTTTTGTTTGTTTTTGTTTTGTTTTGGGGTTTTTTATTTTAAAGGTTAAAACTTCATTCAATTTCATGTCTTACAGGGTTTATACTGAGTATAATAATGGATAACTGTATTAATTCAACACTGTGAACCTAAAAATTTACAGCCAATTTTGAAAGATAGTCGGTTTAGGTTTTACCATTTATGTTGAAGTTTGTTGGACTTCACTCAGTAGGAAACACAAACTAAATCGCAGGCAAGGGGCCTTTTCCCTTCTTAAATTTCCCAGCTTTCCTCTCCTGCCTAGTGATCAATTTTTTTTTCAATTTACTTAATAACCACATAATTAGTAGAAGCATTTCATTACAACAGCATCGACATAGTCGATAACAGTTTCCAGACCTGGTTGCTTTTAAGAGCCACAAAAAGTCATCCCGTTTTCTTTGGTTTTAGGCAGTAAGGGAAAATGATCAGTTTTTCTTAGACAATACCCCCTGATTGTAATTGGATATAAAACTTCATAAAGGCCATGTTTTTTAAATTCCCTTTGAGGCACAAAACCAAAAGATGGTTTTCTTCATAATCTTTTTATTTGAGCATGAAGGGAATTGAGGATTTTTGTGAGATTCAAGTAATGCTTTCCCAAAGTTGCCAATTTAAAACCCCAACTTGTATGTCTTTGAGCAGCATTCCTTTATGATAAATCTATTCGTGCATTCAGTCCACCCTGTATGTGTTACAATGTTGGGTTATACTTGCTGAGAAGTTTAATGTTGCTTTAAGAAGCTGGGCAATTTTCAGTTCCTTAGCTGTTTAAACACAGTTTTAAAAATTCATTCCCTTTCTAGAAAGTTCATCCAGTAGTATAAAATGTCCAGTGAAATTGTTATTAGACTGTATTGATTTGTTATCCCCTTGCATTTAAATGCCCTCCCATCTCACACACATCTGGAAAATAGGAAGAATCACTAAATGCCAACCCCAGATACTGTGATGAGTGCTACCATTTACCCTCCCAGCACAGTATGTAAGACAAGAATCATTTCTTCTCCTTCATTTTACAGATAAGTAAACTGAGGCTCAGAGAGTTCAGTTGCTCAGAACCACAAAATTCTATTTTAATTGAAGCCACTTTTAAAAACTTGAACTGGAGGTCTTTTTTATTTTGAAATTCTGTAAGTGCTGCTTCCTTCCTTTGACATCACCAACAGTCCCCTGTCATCTTGGGGTCTGTTGTCATCTTTCATTTAAGAACTGTTACCTTTAGGTCGGCTCTGACCCTCAATAGTTGGGGTTAAACTATGTGGTCCTGCAAGGTTTCTAGGGCCTGGTTGAGTTTGAAACTAATGACTCATACCCCTGCTTCACCTTGATGCTGTCTGTAAGCCAACAAACACATCTAGCATCAGTCATACATAGCAAGAGCCTATGAGAAAATGACAAAATATTTCAGTGACGTCACTGCTCTGTGGCTGGAGAGCCTTTCCCTTCCTCAATGAGTGCCTCATTGCCGTGTCTGTTCAGGCCTGTGTGCGGAGCTGGCATGCTATAGAATCCAAGGGTGCCTCTCATTTGTGTTACATAGAGAGAGCTAACAGCAGGACAGCCTGCACAAATGGGAAGCTCCCACAGTACCCAGTGCACATGCTAGATGACACCCAGACATCAGAAGCTCAACCTTCTGGATCATAAGCATTTTCTGCTAAGTGGATTCCAAAGTCGTTTAGCCCTTAAGGAATTAAGAGAAGAACCCCCACCCCACCCCGAAGCTGTCTGTATTTCTGTATCAGGAAAGAACATTTACAGTTTTCCCTACTCTCCAGAGTTGCTCTTCCCTAAACTCTGACTGATGAGATAGAAGCAGAGACAACATCCTTGGGTCAGATGCTCCCTGGTAGTTTTTACCAAGAATGAGATCTCTTGGTAAATCTTCCTGATGGATGCTGGAAGAAGTAGCCCCAACTTCTAGCTATTGTAGATTCTTGAAAATAACACTGATTTGTGCTTCAAGTTTTAGTTTTCTTCTTGGTTGGAAGGTAGCTCATTTATGGCAGCTGTATTGATCAGACCCAAAGTGAACTAGAACCAGAAGAAAGCATGCTTTTATAATCTCAAAATAGACAGCTGGCAGCTTAGCCATAGTGAGATTCATTTGGCTTTTCATTGGCAAACTACCTCTTCTAATCACACAACCCAGGACCCTTAAAAGGATGCATTTCTAGACTGGGGATGTAACTAGTTGGTAGCATGCTAGTCTAGCGTGTGTCACACATGGCCCTGGGTTCTGTCCCCGACACTGGGTGTGGTTGCACACACCTGTAAATCCTACCACTTGAGTATTGGAGGCAGAAAGATCAGTTCAAATTCATTCTTAGCTACCTAGACAGTTTGAGGCCAAACTGGGCTACATGAAACCCTGTCTTTAAAAAAATAATAATAATAATCAAGTAAATAAAGCAGGAGTGCCTCCCTCTTGAGCCTTTAGCACTGAAAATGTGCCCCCCTTCTTCAGGAAACCTCAGACCTGGCTCAGGAGACAGGAAACCTGGGCCCTGTGTGGTTCTCACTGTGTGATTCATCTGAGGAAGGGGATCTTCTAGTTGGTAAACGTACTAGTTTTGTAGGAATCTGACCACTTAAAAGATGCTAAGCTCCATTTTGAACCTCCCCAGGCTTTCCTTCCCATGTGAGGTAGCTTGGGACCCAGATGAGCTAGAAAACACGCATTGTGAAGGTATTATGCTAGCCCAGTGACTTTTAATGGAGGCTATGGGCATTTTACAGTCTAAAGCTGGAAATTAAATCCACCAAATTCCATACTTAACCAGACAGGGAATCTAAATGGGAATGGAATTTTCCTAGTTGGGCTCCCGTAGGGCACAAGAAAAATTTTCCACCTAGGGCAGGCCTCAATGGCAGGGTCTCTTCACAGTCCTTCTCCCTCCTGGCTTTGCTCTGTAGATCGGATTCCAGATTCGTACACGTGTACAGGACCTGGGCCACGGCTGTATCTTCCTGGTGCAGAAGGCAGGGGCCCTCCAGGTGTGCCCCACAGACAGCTACACCAAGAAAGAGCTGATCGAGTGCACACGTTCTGTCACTGAGAAGGTATGGAGCTACCCTGGATGAAAGGAGATATGCCTTTGTGGTGGTGGGCACTGGCACTCGGTGACCAGCTGTGATGGGGACTAAACCAAAGTTAATCCAGCCAAGGCAGCTATCTCCCTCACCACCCAGGAGAGGGAGTAGTGTGGGAGCCATGGCAATCCACAGGACCTGAGAAATTCAGGGTAAAACAGGCTGTACCAGAAAGGTTAGGGCCTGGTGCTCAACATTCTCAAAGGACTCCCCTGCAGAGAGACCTATCAAAATCACCATCAGGAGTCACCTGGGGAAAGCCTGACACCACAGGCCCTCCCTTTACCCCTTGGTCTTCCTTCCTTAAGAGGTTCCTAGGTGCTATGGGCTAGGTCAGAAAGATGATAGAGCTAGATGTGGTGGTGCAAGTCTGTAATCCCAGCACAGGGGAGGCAAGGCAGGAAAATCAAGAGTTCAATGCCAGCCTGAGCTATTATAGTGAGACTTTGTCTCAAAAAGCAAGAATGAACAAACAAAATTTAAAGTTCCCCAATGTATAAGCTCTTCATTTATATACCATGAAGCAGGGAGGCTCCTGACTAGACAGTCACTTGATACACTGTGGAGGAGCAAGGGCTCTTCTTGGGCTTCTGACCCAAAGGGCAGCTATTCAGAAAGACACCTTTAATCCCAGTAGTCAGGAAGTAGAAGTAGGTGGGTATCTGTGAGTTCAAAGCCAGCTTGGTCTACATAGTGAGTTCCAGGCCAGCAAAGCTGATAGTGAGACCCTGTCTCTAAAAGAAAACAATAAAAAGTCTCTTAAGAGTATGATCAGCAAGGATTGAAGAGCTTACCTTTCCAAGCCTCTGTTTCCTCATCTGTAAAATGAGTACACAGACTTATAATATCTGACTCATAGAATTAAGGTATATATAAGTTCTTGGTACCATGCCAGGTAAATAGTTGAATAGTTAACAGATACTAACCACTATTCTCTGTAAACTTTCTCCAAAATTCTTTTCTCCCATGATATTTTCCTAGCTAAGAAGATTCCTATTGGATCCATCCCTTTGTGTCCAGTAGCTCTTTTACTCTTCCCCATAGGCAGACCAGGCTTTGCTTATGTATTCAGTCGTTTCTGGTCAGCTGTGTTGCAGCTGCGTGGAAAGCAGGCTGTAGTATCCATATTCTGGATTCACTGTGGTTCTCAACACATAGAGCTATGTAATGTTCAGAAATTGGCCACAAGGATGGAGGGCTGGGCAGGGGAAACCCTCAAGGGGAAGCTATCCACAGAGGCTGCTTTGTCAGCCAGACCTGGACAAGGCTGAGCCTCCATCTGGCAGCTTCCCCCAGCTCATGGGACTAGCCTCTGCAGGAGGAGGAAATACATATCTCAGCTGGAGGAAGGCACTTCCCTCCCTTCAAAGCCCTTGCCAAGTTTCCCAGTAAAGAGCCTGAATTAGGAAGGGGACCCAAACTGCATGTTTTAACCAGGCCACAGGATCATCCTGAGCTGGCCTTGGCCTCCCTGCTTCTCAAAGCAGAGGGGCATGTCCCAGGACACATAGAGGACAGAGGTGGGAGGTGGCTAGTTCCAACAACTACCCCTTTGGCTATTTCTTGCTTCAGATCACTGCCCTCTAGATCCACCTGGGCATCTTGTCATTCTTAATGTCTTGGGGTATAAGTAGTACATCCTCCAACCATGAGCCCCTTCTCTACCTATGTGTCATACCCAGTGGCTAGTAGATGCTCAGTAAATACCTGCTGCTTACACACCTACAGTAGGTAGGACATTGTTTTTGGACTCTTCTTTTACCCTGAATAAGAACATCCCTTGCATATACACACCCAAGACATCCCACTATTATGCAGGCCTTTCCCACCCATCCTCAAAGCCCTTTCCAGGCACTGTTGACTTCATTCCCTGGCCAACTCTGTGCTAATCAGACTCATCTTTTCCTGGTAGGACCTAGAGGCATTTTTTAAAAGAGTTAGACAAGGGGCTGGGGAGAAAGCTCAGCATTGCTCTTGCAGAGGGACCTAGGTTCAATTCCCAGCACCCTCATGGTGGCTAACAACTATCCATAACTCCAATTTCAGGGGAACTTGACGCCCTCTTCTGACCTCTGCAGGCATTGCACACACAGGTACACTTACATACAGGCAAGCAATACATTCATGCACATAAAATAAAAATAATAAAATATATATCTTTTTTAATTCTCAGAGTATGCCCATAGGCCATCTTGATCTAGACAGGCCTTCACTGAGACTCTTCCCTGGTGATTCTTGATTGTGTCAAGTTGACAATTAAAACTAAATATCACAGGAAAAGAAGTAATTCCTTGTGAACTAGTCTTGGAGAAAATCATCAAAAATCGTCCCTATGTCCCTCTTGCCAGGCTGTGCCCACAACCTCTCCTGAGACCTGAGTAGCACAAGGCAGAGTGTCCCCAACCCTTATTCATGCTGTGACTCACATACCTGGTTTGCATACTTCAAGAAGTATATTTACCTTATAATCCCAATACTGGGGGTCAGAGGCAAGTGGATCCCTGGGGCTCACTGACCAGCCAGTCTAGCTAAGTTTGAGAGCATTCAATGAGAAACCATATCTTTAAAAAATGTAGAGATTGACTGAGGAAGACACCCAGAGGTTGACCTCTAGCTTCCACACACATGTGCTTTCATACACACGTACACAACACACACACACACACACACACACACAGAGTGTCTAGCTGCCCATGTGACATGTTGGTTTTCACCTTCAGGACTATGGGCTATTCTGAGGACAGAAACAGTTTGCTAGAAATCCTGGGGAGCAGAGCTGTCTCAGCAGAGGGAATGGAGAGGCATCCCAGAGGGTACTTTAAACAGTATCCTGCAGGATGCACATGTCAGTGCTAGGGAGGAGAGCAGGGCCTGGGAACAGAACACAGGTCCAGAGTAAGAAGGAGGGTATGTAGGGACCTAAGCAGCTGGTAGACATGCCAAATGACAGTCAGGTGGGCACATGGTTAGACTGTAAGCTGAGGTGTGGAACAGTCAGGCTGTGGAAATATCTCTGGGAACAGGGAAGAACGTTTGAGGAGGAGCTGAGGGTGGAAACTGGCACCTGGGGTTTCTGGTGTGGAATGTACTGGGATACAGACTTCAGCTGACTTGCTAGAACCTCTGGTCATCGCATTACTACTTAACAGTGGATGATGACATGCAAGAGCCTCGCTGGGATCCACTCCGGAGAGTGGCCTATCCTGCATGGCCAGGTAAGGGAGTGATGTGTTAGCAGTGGCTCTTCCTTTAACACACCTAACTGAAGGAGTGGAAATGGCTACCTATTTCTCAGGACCCTACCCTGATCCCTTGCTGTGGTATCAGAAAGCATCATACTACCTCGGTAAGCACTGTCTTCCAGGGTCACTCATGATGTGCAAATTCCTTCCTGGACACTTGACACATAATTACTTTTCCTCCTTAAATCTCCAAACAACTCAATAGGCAAGAAACACTAGCTATGTTTCACAGTTAAGGAAATTGAGGCCTGGAGGAACAAAGCAGCTTGCCCAGTATCATGTGGCAAGATCAGGTACTTGGCCCTAACCCTGTGCTGTTAAACCTCAAGCTATGTCAGCATGTAAGAGAATTCAGTTATTTTCAATGTCAGTCCACTTTTCCATTGCTCTCTTCTCCATTTCCTGGCTTCACCTCACACTGCCTTTCTACCTACAGGTATCCTTGGTGCTCTCGGCTCTCCAGGCTGGGAACAAGGGGACTCAAGCATGCATCACAGCTGCCACTGCTGTGTCTGGGATCATTGCTGACCTAGACACCACCATCATGTTTGCAACAGCAGGAACACTGAATGCAGAGAACAGTGAGACCTTCGCAGATCACAGGTACTAGGAGAGGCTCAGGCTGGCCTGCCCTAGATGTGGGTATCTTTCAAAAAGATGCTCAGCTGGGCATGATCAGCACTTCGGAGGCAGAGGCAGGGAGATTCTGGGAGATTAGGGCCAGCCTGGTCTACATAGCAAGTTCCAGGCCAGCTGGGGCCACAGGGAGACCCTGTCTCAAAAAAAAAAAAAAAAAAAAAAATGTTCAAGTGAGGGACCAGAGCCACAGGGTCAGAGTAAACTCCTTTGCCAACTATAAATTCAGCCATGTTTGAACCTGATCTTTGACTAGTTACAAATATCCTGTTCCTGCAAGGCAACAGCTTTTCAGTGTTGCAGGCCAGGGAGCTGCTCCTCTTAACTACTCAGACTTAGCAGGATCAGGAGTAGAAAAGGCACATTTAGCAGTTACAGCTCAAAGCCTTCTGCCTCTGCCAAGCCTTCATTAAAACACAGTGGTGCTGATGGCTCTATATTTACTGCTAGCGACCCCTAATTCCTCATCATGCCCTTTCTTTCCTCTCCAACCGAATGGGCTGTGATGGGGTAGAGAGTCTCTATGAACTACGTAGCCCTGTGGACTTTAATTCTCATGCAAGATGGGCAACTTAAGCATCTTTGCAACTCACTGTCACCTAGAAGTATCTGAAGGGATAGCAAGAACTGTGGAAAAGAAGCTGGGTCAACACTTAACTACAAGACTGAGCCCTTCCCTGAGTTCTGCTACCCACACCCAGTCTAGTACTGTTTGGGTCCCTAGCCTCACATAATGTGGAAGGACCCCCCTTTCCTTGCAGGCTTTTTGTTCCAAAGCCCCCATGAAGGACTTCCTTCCTTATAGCTGCAATTAAGCAATTTTGCTCTATGTTTCTCCCTCTCTCCGGCCTTCCCCGTTCTCAGGGAGAACATTCTGAAGACAGCCAAGGCGTTGGTGGAAGATACGAAGCTGCTCGTGTCAGGAGCTGCATCCACTCCAGACAAACTTGCCCAGGCAGCTCAGTCCTCAGCAGCTACCATCACCCAGCTTGCTGAGGTGGTCAAACTGGGAGCGGCCAGCCTGGGCTCTGATGACCCTGAGACCCAGGTATGAATAGACCCTGAGGAATATCTTCCCCTTGTTCCTACACACATTGTGCCAGGTTTCAGAACAGGGCTCAAGCAAATAGTGGCCTTGGAAGCAAACAATGCGTCTGAGTATGTCTGGTTTGGGAAGCTGTTAAGAAGCAATTGTCTCCAGGAGACAGAGGCATTAACTGCGGCAGTGAGACCAGGGGCTTTGAGAGATCTAGAAGCAGAAGTCAGTGAGGCCCAGTGAACAATTGGGTTCAGTAAACATTGGGGAATAAGGGAGAGCAAGGATGGCCCCACAGTCAGAATGGAGCAGTGTGTCGATGGCAGTTCCATGAACTGAGAAGGAGCTGACCTGGGAGAAGGTGAGTCCTGATCTAAGGCATGATGAATTAAAAGTATAAGAGAGTCACACAGGTAGAACCAGTGAGGGGTGAACCTGCTTGGGTTCATGGGTGCGATTCGGGGGTCATTGCCACTGGACAGTGCCTGAAGACACAGGGAAAGAAAAGCATGAAGTGAGAGGAGGGGGTCAGACCAAGCCCTGAGGACTCCAGCCTTTAGAACCTTGCCAAGGAGAAAATGCACAGGAAAATTCTAGAATAGCCACAACTGGAATGAGGATAGTCATCGGTTGTGGCACTGAAAAGACGAGTGTTCTCACCCACAGAGCCGCTGAGAGTTGAGACTGATGAAAGTCTGGGCACCAGGCCTTGGTGACCCCAGCTGCCAGTGTGGATATCAGCTGAGAACAGGGTTTGGGGAGCAGCTGGGAGGGTGCAGAAACGATCTCAGCTCTGTAGCCTGGTGCTGGAGAAGGTTGCCTCTGAGACAGAAAGAGGGACTGCAAGAGTGGGAAGGCCCTTCTGTTCCTGTGCCCTCTGCTTAGAAGGTGGCAGTTTCATTGAAATTATCTGCCTGAGCCTTGGTCCCTTTTCCAGATCATAGTCACTGCAGTTTGCTGTCTTTGAAACCAGCACACTCAATTATAGCAGCCTGGCACATAGCGGATCTTCTTCATTAAGCTGGCATTCCAATGGCTTGAGCTGACAACCAGTGAGGGCCCTCAGTAGATAGAAGCCACCTATTCTCTTCTACACTCATTTTTCCAAGGTAAACCCCTCCATGTCCACTACCTGCACTGGATTCAATACACTAGTCAAATCTGGGCCAAGCTAGATACATAGAAATGCCTGCCCTTCAAGACAGCAGTGTGCCCACCCTTTCCTTTCTCCTTCTCACTGTCCTCTGAGACAACAAGGCCCCAGGGGGATTCTTCCTTAGGTTGCTTTATCCTCTGGCTGGATTTCCTCCACCAGCACTGGAGTTCAGGTGGGCTGCTTGGACAGCACTAAGTAGCTGTAGAAATCCCTGCTGGTGGCAATGTTCTGTTCCCCATGCAGGAAGGGAGTGAGAGAGGGAGGGAGGAGCGGAGGACTGGAAACCCTGTCCCTGGAGCTGGAACCTTACAGCCCAAGCACCTCCTTACATAAACAACTTGATGAGAAAGAACTTGAATGGGAAGATGTAAATCTTTCCACATGGAGAGATGTGTTGAATTGCTGTGGGATCTTTTTCTCCTTTGAAAACATTTTATTTTCACAAGTTGTATAAAGCACAAAAGTAGAAGTCACAAATGAGCTCTTCTGACTTCTGCGCAGCTTCAGTGGCTGCTGACATTGACCTTTCTTTTCAGGTGCTGTTTTCCCATGACTTTTATTTCTGTTTTGAGTAAGAGCACTTAACATGAGCTCTGCCTTCACCAACCTTTAACTGTACAATGCGGTAGTACTAACTGGGCACTACGGTAGATGGCAGGTCTCTAGAGCTTATTCATTCCACTTAACTGAAATTTTGTGATCATTGCCTACGAGCCCCCCAGCACACACAGACTCTTATCTCTAGCAATCACCATTCTACTCTGCTTCTAGAAATTTGACTGTTTTAGCTACTATAAGTGTGGTCATAGACTGCTTCTCTTCTGTGACTGACTTCTCCTACCTTAATGTCCTTAATCCATGCTATTACATAGAGCAGAATTTTCTGTATAAAAGCTAAATAGTAAGATAAGCTTGGTGGCACATGCCTTTAATCGCAGCACTTGGGAGGTAGAGGCAGGTGGATCTCTGTGGGATCAAGGCAAGCCTGATCTATATAGTGAGTTCTAGCCCAGCTGGGTCTACTAGGAGACCCTGTCACAAACAAACAAACAAAACAGCTAAATAATATCCCACTGTGTGCATCTACGTTTTCTTTATTCATCTATTGATCTTGCTTAGAATTGCTCTTGCATCCTGGCTATTGTGAATGATGCTACTATGAATCTGGAAGTACCAGTATCTCACTTAAATTCTTTTGAATAAATACCCAGGAGAAAGATTTCCAGATCATGAAATTCTCTTAATTTGTGGGGAATCACCATGGCATCTATGCCATCCTGCACTCTGACCAACAGTATATAAAGAATTCTGATTTCTCCACCTGCTCACCAATACTTGTGTCACCCAGCCTTGACAGTGGATAGCCTTCCTGACAGGTGTGAGGTACCTCACTATGGCTTTGATCTGAGTTTCTCTGAAAATAGTGACATGGAGCTTCTTTTTGGATACCTGTCAGCCACTTGTTTATCTTTGAAGAAATGTCTGTCCAGATCCTTTCCTATTTTTTAAATTAGATTGTTAATTTTTCTCATTATTACTGTAGAGTTGTTACTCCCAAATATTCTAGATATCTTGAAATAGTAAATTCTAATGAAAGCTTCCTTTGAAAAAAAAATAATAGTTCAAGGCCAGGCATGGTGATACAAGCCTTTAGTCCTAGCACTCAAGAGGCAGAAGCAGGTGAATCTCTGTGAATTTGAGGTTAACCTGTTGTACATAGCAAGTTCCAGACCAGCCTAGTAAAGCCCTGTCTACAAAAAAGAAAAAAAGGGCCAGTGAGATAAAGCACTTACTTTACAAGCCAGATGACCTGAGTTCAACCCCCTAGAACCCTTGTAAAAATGGGAGAACCAGCTCCACAAAGTTGTCCACATGTGCACAAACACACACACACACACACACCATACACACACAACAGGAGCTGTCAATAAGGCTTGAAAAGGCTTAAGTGCAATGACCCAAACATCCTCGCTATGATTGGTGCTTCAGACTACAAATCCAGTATTTGGGGAAGGTGGCCTCTGGTAACCAAGTAGACATGGATAGTGTCATCTAGGGTTGAACGGGTTGCCTGTGCCTTCATTTATTCCTCAAGATTCATGGAATGCAGGCAGTATGCCAGGCCATGTTTTGAGAATGAAACAAAGTAGGGCCTGTTCTAGCCTCCTGAAGTCACAGGAGAGGATAAACCATGCGTAAATGAATAAATCAAATGATTCCATGGACTGGTACTGCTGTAGATAATATAGGGCTGTCTGATAGCGTTCTGGTATTTGGGGGGGGGGGTAGACCCATAACTAGCGTGATCAGAATGAGTCTCTAAGGATGGACAGTCAAGCTGAACGCAGTTAAAGAGCCAGGCTCCAGATAGAGAGGGGAGCAGGAGTGAAGACCTTGATCAGGGATGTGTTGGGACTTCAGAGGGAAGAAAGACTCATGTGCCTGAGCATGTGGTATGGGGCAGAGAATCCCAGGAACTAACTCTGGAGAGGCAGGCCCACTGTGGAGGTCTTCCTTACTGCCCTAGTATGAAGCTGAGGTTTTGTTATCTGTGCTTTCAAGTAAGTGATAGTGCTTCACTGGTGTCTGCTTAGCAGCCTTCATCCAGTCAGAGATAGCTTGCTGGCAGAGCTGGCAAGCTAGAAGACTATGGTTTTAGACCTCAGCATTAGCAGTAGCAGCAGCAGAAACAGCAGCAACAGCAGCCTCCCTAAGCCATAGAATCTCCAAGGGTGGCTTCCTGGGTAGTGCCACCGTGATCAGCTGCTGGTGTAGTGACTCCTTCTTTTCCCATCTTTGTATACTAGCCTGCCCTTGGGCAGAATGCCCTTGAAGAAGTCAGTAGTGAAGGTTAATGTCTGTTCACCAGACTTCTGCTCTCTTACAGGTGGTACTGATCAATGCCATCAAGGATGTAGCCAAGGCCCTTTCTGATCTCATTGGTGCTACCAAGGGAGCTGCCAGCAAGCCAGCTGACGACCCCTCCATGTACCAACTCAAAGGAGCCGCCAAGGTAGTGTGAGACTCCAACTAGGGCTGAGCAGGTAGGGATATAAGGGTGAGGGAATCACATGCAAAGCTAAGAGAACAGGCTACTGAGCACCTTCCTTGTTTGAGGGAGACAGAGGTGTCTTCATTTATGCCATGTGGTCTGCAACTGGAAAGAGCAGCGACTGCATTTCTGACAGTGTGCTATCTGCTTATCTCTTCCTATGCAGGTGATGGTGACCAATGTCACCTCTCTCCTCAAGACTGTGAAGGCAGTGGAGGATGAGGCTACCCGGGGCACAAGGGCACTTGAGGCCACCATAGAGTACATAAAGCAGGAGCTCACGGTAAGGAACTAGCAATCACCACCCTCTGCTAGCCACCAGTGTCCAGCATCAGACTGCCACATGGGCTTCCGTACAGTTTTCAACCTAAATAGCTTTTACCTAGAACTCCTGAACTAGGGAGACCCATTCATCTGCCTTCTGGTGGCTTATCCATGTGTCACTGAGTGTGACTAGAAACTATTAGGAACATTTGTTTGCTTGTTTGTTTGTTTGTTTGTTTGTAAGATAGGGTCTCATATAGCCCAGACTCAAACCCCTTTGTAGCTTGAACTTCAGATCCTCCTGCTGAACTTCTAATTCTCCTGCCTCTATGGGGTGCGCAGGGATCTCAGGGCGCCAGCTGCTAGCATGGCGCTGGTCCCCTGCGCGCACCTGGAAGGTGGCGGGTCCCACGGTGCGTCTGCTCTGCATTGCTGGCGGGCCCCTGCTTCTCCTCTGTGGGTCCCTCTGCTACCGGGGCTGGCCCGGTCGAGTTCCGCCTTAATTTCACCTGTGCACTTCCTCAAGATGCGAAATCCACCGGCAGCTGGATCACACGGGAAGGTGCAGGGCGGCTAAAGCTGGGTTTCCATGAGTGGATGACAGAAGGATAGTGCCCCCCGGGAAGACTGGATTGTAGGCAGTAAGACACAGGACTCAGCTCTGATCTCAGTGATACAGCTACTTTATTCTCCTGACTCTGCTTGGCTCCAAGTCTTGGTGATCCAGCTCCAGCTCCAATTATTGAGGGAAAAACAGGACACTTTATACCGTGGGGGTAGTGGTAAAAAGCCTTAGCTGATAGGTACTTTGTGGGATGCCCTATTTACATATGGAAGTGGGCTCCTGCCAGGCTGCCAGACTACCTGAGAATCACACAGGAAAACCTGGCATTTCCAGAGCCGGAGGCCGTGTTTCTGTGACGGCTACTTCAAAAGACGAGTCAGGAAGATGCCGGGAAGGCACCCTGCTGAAAAAGGAATCTCTGCATATGAGGCCGAGCCCATGGGCTATCCGGTCATGAAGAGACTGCTACTTTACACAACAGGGGTCCCCAACATGCCTCCACTTCCTATGTGCTAGTATTACACCATGTACCATCATGCCCAGGTTTATGACCTCCTAGGGATCAAACCAAGAGCTCCATGCATATTAGGCAAGCTTTCTATCACCAAGGCTATATTCTTAGCCTGGGTGTGACCCTGCATCTATTGGTAATCATAATTAAGGAACTAGCTGACATTTATCACTTAGGACAATCCACGTTTAAGTCTACAAAATGACAACATGACACTGAAGCATTACAGAAGATTCCTGACGAAGGGGAATGTCAGAATGGCAGTTTACACAAGCCCCGAGTTTACATTGTGGGTACCATATGTATCCTCTCTAGATTCATGTTGCTATTGGCAACAGTTCACACTGCTACAGACGTGTAGAATCAAAATCTGAGGTTCACTGTTAGGAGAAAGACCTAGATGCCTCTGAGTAAGAGACTTCCTTCAGCATCCAGCTCCCTTCTATTTGAGTCATTGATTTTAATCACATCAACTCTTTTCATTTTCACCTTGTTCCAGCCCTGTAGAGTTGAGGGTACCTAGAGTCACTGTGGTAGGGATGTTGTCTGTTTCCTTTGTCCTGGGTCCAGTGGCTACATCAACTCATCCTAATCCTTACAAATAGAAATACTCAGGAAATGAGTGACTTTGCCCCAAGATTTCTTTTTAACAGAGCTGATCACAGATGTAACTTTTTTAGGGGGGTATACAAGCGCCTGGGGAACTTGCCTCTGTTGCTGGTTTTCCTGCCCCTTTACACGGTCACCTGTGAAGGCAACATGAAGGGCAGTATTAGAAATGAGTGATTCCACTGTTATTACCGACCAAGCATGGCTTCTTTTGTCCTGTCCTGAATGAATCCAACTTTGGTTGAGATGCTTAGTTCATATTTTTTTAAGATTTGGGGTTTTTTAAATTATGTATATATTTGTATCTATGGGAGGGTTGTGTATGTAAGTGCAGGTACCCACAAAAGTCAGAAGAGCTGTTAGGTCTTCTGGGCTGGAATTACAGGTAGTAACAAAACTTGGATCCTCTCCAAGAACAGTACCTGCTCTTAACCACTGAGCCATCTCTCTAGTCCCCTTAGTCCATTTAAAAAAACAAAAACAAAAACAAAACTTTGACTGACTGTAGAAAGGTCAAAGTCTCCTATCAATGATTTTACCAATTTTTGATGTTGGGATATTGGTAAATGATCATTTAAAAACCTGCAATAGCATGGCTTAAAGAATATGAACAGCCCAGGCTAGTAGGGTTATTCTGCTTCATCATTCAGTGATCTGAGTTCCTTCTATTGGGTTCCCATCTGCACTCTGAAACTGGCTCACCACCAGGTCCAAATTCCACCTGATACCTGTTAGGTTTTCTCCATCTTTCAGATTTTTGAGAAGACATCTTTTTTGCATAATAATCTTGTTTCATTTTCATATATTAGAGTTTCCTGGAAGCCCAAAGTGGTATTTCCCAATTTGGAGGAGCTGAAAACAGGACCAGTTCCATCCCTAACCCTAAAAAATCAAGACAAGGTGTAGGCATCCCTTAGGCTGATCTAAATGGAAAGAATAACTTCTGTTTATCAAGAGAGAACTTCCAAGATACAGTCCATCTTTGAGGAATTCAGTCAGGAACTGAAGCAGGGACCATTGAGTAATGCTGCTTACTGGCTTGTTTTAGTTCATATTTTTGTTTTGTTTATTTTTATGTGTATGAGTTTTGCCTGCATGTATGTAAGTGCACCCGTGTTGTGCAAAGCCCACAGAGGCCAGAAGAGGGGGTTGAATTCTCTGGAATTGGAGTTAGGAACAGTTGTTAGCCACCATGTGGGTGCTGGGAATCGAACCCAGGTCCGCTTCAAGAGCAACCAGTGCTCTTAACCACTGAGCCATCTCTCCAGTCCCTTAGTTCATATTTTTAAAGGAGAAATTAAAAACTATAGAAGTAAGTAATACCCTTAAGCCGTGCTGCCTGATCCTGGTATGGCTGCATGGGTTGGCAGGTTCTGCCTGAGCTCTGGACACAGATTGAGACAGCTGTGGGTAGGTCCTGTGGTAGGAGATGGAGGAAAGATTTGAAATTTGGACTGTCCTAGGAAATTATAGACACTTTCTCATTGTGAGTATACCAGAGTGATATAGAATTCATCTAGGTTTTTTTTTGTTCATTTTGTTTTGTTGTTTTGTTTTGTTTTGTTTTTGAGATAAGAATCTCCTTGTAGATCCAGCTGGCCTGGAACTCACTATGTAGACCAGGCTGGCCTGGAACTCAGTAATCTACCTACCTCTGCCTCCCAAGTGCTAGAAGTAAAGGCATGGGCAACCATGCTTGGTTCATCCATATTTAAAGTAATAATAATTATTAATAATAATAATAATTCACCCAGACTTTATTCCATGAAGCCTATGCTCTGGGAACCACGGTACAGAGGACTCTGTCAAGTGGTCATAATATGATCTCACTGTAGTGCTTAGGAATGGACAAAGGACTTTTACTGTCCTGAGAAGAAACTTAGTTAAGAAAAATTGAAGCTGCCTATTTAAAATTATTAATGTAGTTTTTTATTTATTCTTTAAGAATTTCGTACATGCATACAATGTATTGTGATCATATTCACCTTTCACTCCTTCCCCCAAACTCCTCCTGGAGCTTTCCCTCCACATCCCTCTCCTAACTTCATATCCTTTTCTCTTTTTAAAAATAACCACTGAGTCCAGTTAGTGCTATTCCTTACATGCATGGATGTAGGGCCATCTGCTGGAGCTTGGTCAACCTACCAGGGACCACATCCCTAAAGAAAACCGGCTTTCTTGGCTAGGTGTGGTAGTCCTTGTCTCTAATAAGCACTCAGGAAGTAGAAGCAAGAGGATCTCTGTGAGTTCAAGGACAGCCTGGGCTACATAGCAAGTTCCAAGCTCTAGTTAGTTAGGGCTACATAGTAAGACCCTGGCTCAAAAGGGTGGGGGCAGGGGGAGAAAAGAAAACTGACTCTCTCCCACCCCTAGCAGCCATCAACTGTCAATATTATTTCAGCTAGACTTGGGGGTTCATGTGCCCCTCCTCCATCCATGATGGAGTGTTGACCGACTTGATTTTGTGTAGGGAACCACACAGCTTTTCATTTCTTAAGGAGTAGTGCTGTTTGACACTAGTTGGCATCTAGCAGGAATGCTGTGTGGGGGTCTTTTAGGGATGAAAACAGGCCAGCCCCTCATGTGATGGCAGTCCTTCTGTGCAGGAATGGATATACATGCCACAGCATCATTTCTTCATGGTAAAGATACAGGACCAGGTAGGTGTGATTCAGAAGGAGCTTGCCTTGACTAATAGGTAAAACTTCAAGGTGGGATTTTGAATGACCTTGGTTAATTTATTACAGCTCTTATAACTCGTGTGTGTGTGTGTGTGTGTGTGTGTGTGTGTGTGTGTGTGTTTAAATAATTCAGACTTGCTGACTTGAGCACCTCTGCATGATCATGCAGCTATATTTGTAAAACAGACTAAGAATTGTAGGATCTGAAGCTTCATTTTCCCAGACCTCATACCTATGCAGAGTAGGGAGGAGGGCATCCAAAGTGATACATTCAAATCAGTCTTGCCCCAGAACCTGTATTGGGACTGAGAGTTTCTGAAAAATGCTTCAGACAGATGAAGGAAAAGAAATAGAATTTTGGAAGGACAGTGTGCAAAGGTTGGGTGTTATCTACAGATGGATGTGTTAACCCTGTAGAAACCTCCTAGTCACCAAACTGTTTCCGTGAATGCCAAGTGTCCGTGTTTGTCCATGCTAGAATCTTGAGAGCAAGAACCACTTTACTGCCCTCAAATTAAATTTCTAATTTCCTGCCATGTGACAGTCTCTTCCAATTGCTAGCTTGGTTCTCAGACACTGAGCTGCAGCCCACTTGGAGAAGAGTCAGTTATTTTTGTCCTTTCCTTTTGGGTTATTTTCACCTCCTTTGTTTCTCCTTCAAGGTGTTCCAGTCAAAAGACATACCTGAGAAGACATCATCTCCCGAAGAATCAATAAGAATGACAAAAGGCATCACCATGGCAACAGCTAAGGCTGTAGCAGCTGGAAACTCATGTAGACAGGAAGACGTGATTGCCACTGCCAATCTGAGCCGGAAGGCTGTGTCAGATATGTTGACAGCTTGCAAGGTAAATGGGCATTGTTGTGGGTGGGTGGATGCATGGTTCTCTATTGTAAATGGCCTATCCTCCCGAGAAGGAAGAGGCTGCAATGTGTAGCACAGAGCAGCTCCATACTTTACATTTTGCAGTAGACAAGCATGCAGAAAGCAGAGTATGCATCAACCTGGGGCAAGGACTCAAAACAACTTAAGGAAGGAGGAGTCTACTTTGGGTCACAGTTTGCAGGTTCAGTCATGGCAGTAGGAGCCTGAGGTAGCTGGTAATACTGTATCTTCAGTCAGGAGATGGAGATGGAGGCTGGTGCTCAGCTCACTTTCTCTTTTTAATTCAGTTCAGGACCCCAACCCATGGAATGGGTGCTACCCACATTTAGAGTAGGTCTTACTCAGTCAACCCAGTTTAGAAACTGCTTCACAGGCATGCCCAGGGGCTTGTTTCCTTGCTGATTCTAAATCTCATCTAGCTGACAATCAAGATTACCCATCACAAGTATCTTGGTTCCCTCAGGGTGCCTCATAGTTCTGGAAGGGCAGCCATGTGCATTCTGTCATTGGATCCCAAGTAAGGAAGTCAAGCATCATTACTCCAATTTGTCAGATGACCAGATGGGCTCAGACAGAATTATTGACATGATCAAAGCCACACAGCTCCTCACTGTCAGAATCAGAACTGAAACCAGCACTCTGGTTCTGTGGCAGCCTGTTTCTGTGGCCCATGGCCTCCCAGCCATGATTATGAAGGTGGCTGTGGTTGATGATTGATTGACAGGCACTTTTGCCCATTTCAAAGTTTTCTCATCACTGTGACAAAATATCTAGCAGAAGCAACTGAGGAGAAGATGAGTCAGGGTGGCTCTGTTCGTAATGTTGGGAGCTTACAACATGGCTTGTTATGTCTTAGGGTGATTGATCAGAAAGCAGAGAGCTAATCCTGGAACCAGAGGCAGTGTCAAGGCCCACCCCTAGTGAGCTAAGTCTACCACCTAGGCCTCATGTCCCAAAGGTTCTGAAACCTTCAAAAACAGCACCGCCAGCTAGGGAACAAGTATTCAAGCCTACATTTCACATTCAAACCATAACAGCCATCATGTTATGAGAAGCATTAAAGCCCTGATTAAGGCATAAATGAAACGCAGCTCAGATTTTGAGAAGCATTAAAACCCTGATTAAGGCATAAATGAAATGCAGCTCAGATTTTGAAGTCTCTCTTAGAGAGATTTCCCCATTTACAGGGGTCAAGTAGAAAAGTGAGGATGCTCTGTTCTACTTTGACTCATCCTGGTTCAGAATATCTTGGCTTTGCAAGACTAAATAATAGAGTTCTGAAACCTATTTGCAAAACAAATTTGATCCACATGCCAGAGTCACATTTGACAGCAAGTTTGACCACTGAGACCTGAGACACCTATTAGGATCGTGTTTACTTAGCAAATAGCAACACTGACAAATGTGAGCATGGTGGCTCATCCCTCACCTGTAATTCTAGCACATGGAACTGAAGTAGGAGGATTGTTCTGAGTTAGAAACCCCCCTAGGCTGCATAGCAAGTGTCAGTGAAGCTACAAGTGTTTGTGGAATGTTGAGGTTGTGTCAGTGGGTGGATTCAGCCTTGTCATGGGTGTGGCTGAGAGGGGCTCTAACCAACAAAGTGGGTTGCATGTAGCATGTAGGTACTGAAGAGAAGATCCATCCTAGACTCTCATCCTAGACTCGGAATCTGTACCTAAAGGAAATGGCCTCTGAAATAAGGCAGTTTTCTGAATGTTTAAAATGCTTAGTACATTAATGATTTTTTTTTAATTTAGAAAGCCAATCATGGTAGCTGATTTGTAATCCCAGTGCCAAGAAGTCAGAGACAGGTGGATCCTTGGGCCTCACTGGCCAACCAGCCTAGCCTAACCTGGGGAACTCCAGGCTAGCAAAAGACCCTGTCTCAAAAAACAAAGTGAATGGAACCTGAGGAATGACACCCAAGGTTGATCTCTGGCTTCTGCACCCAGAATTTTCAAATTTAAAAAAGCTCAGCAGGTCTCTGAAGTCACGCCAAATGACCAGGTTGCCCCATTGGAGCATGACTCTAAATGTCTTGCTTTCATGTGCATATATTTACAGTAGATACAACTTTGTATCTTGTTATAATTGGTGTGGGTGGCTGTTGCTGGATTTCTCTGCTCAGTTTCATGACTTGCTCATGACTACAGAAACTATCAATACTGTCTTTCCTCTGTTCTCAGATATGTAGGATATTGCAGTTTTCACTATCACGAACTTCACTGTTTTGTTTTTGAGATCAGGTCTCATATATCCCAGGCTGGTCCTTGAACTTCTGATCTTCCTGCCTCTACATCTGAGTACTGGGATTACAGGCATGTACCACCACACCCAGCTTACGGATGCTAAGGATCAAACCCAGGATCTCATACATGTTAGGCAGGCACTCGAACAACTGAGTTACATCTCCAACAACTTTACTATAATGAACATCTTTGAGCTTACTTGATTTATTTGTGCTTTGGATTATTTTCTTAGGCAAGACTCCTAGAAGCAGAATTAGTGGGTCAAGTTGTAAGACATTTTAATTACTGCCAGATGGTTCTCCCAAAGGGCTCTGCCAAGTTATAGAGCCACTACAAAGGACAAGAGCACCTCACCTCTCCCCCAACCCTAAATGCAGCCCCTGCTGGAGGTGAGGCCACGGAATAGCATTGTGGCCTATGCCACCCACAGTACTGCATGGCTCTGTGCCTTGCAGTTAGAGACCTAGGGACATGGGGATAAACGAAGCATGGTGGTTTCAAGAGCATGACTCTGGACTCCTGATTTCTGCCTCTTAGGCCTGTTAGTCCTCAGATTAATCAAACCTGGCTCATCATTGGCAGTTGCTGGAATGCCACCCAAGGATGGTATACAGATGTTGCCACCACACTGCCTATCCCTAAGAGAGGGACTGATATAAAAAAAGGTAGCTGGCCAGTTCATCTTTGACTGGATCTTTTGTCCCACTGTATGATTCACCTGTTTATTGGTTTTTTGTTTTCGTCTGTGTTCCTGCAGAGCTAACATAGGGCCACATGTGTGCTACACAAGCACTCTGCCACTGAGTTATAGCCCTGATCCTCGTTTTACTTTTTATTTTGAGATCAAAGCTCACCGTGTTACCAAGGCTAGCCTAGAACTCACTTTGTAGCACAGACAGGCCTAGAACTTGGGCTTCTCCTACCTCAGCTTGGGATTACACACCTGTACTATCAGGACTGGCCCTGATATGTGATGTGAATTTGTCTTGTTTGATGGCCATGTGTAATATTGTATATTACCTATTTCTGTATGCCTTTCAAGTGCTTTCCAGCGTGAAGCAATAGAAGAATAGCTAAGGGGATGGGATTTACATTTATAGCAAATAAAAGATAGCATCCCACACGTGCTTTTTTTCCTGGTTTATCTGAAATTCAGATTTCACGAAGTGTATTTTATCTGGCAACCCTAGGAGTCAGTACCATCTGAAATGATTTGTCATGGATGACTAAGGTGGCAGGTCACAGGTCATGGAAAAAGCCTGAGACACTGTGTTACCCAGAGCTCTGAACTTATCTGTGCATTTGTATTATGTGAGATGAGTTATTTACAGTGCCTGAGGGTACCAGGTAGCTGCTATCTGAAGTTTCCCAGGAGCCAAGGACTCTGGTCACAGAGACCGCCCTGTGTGGCTGCAGCTTGGGAGGTTGAGTGAGAACCTGGGCTTCATTAGCCTGGGGACATAGAAGGGGCCTTTAGACTGCCTCTGTCACTGACTAGAAGCCAGGAAGGGCTACTGAAGCCTTGATTGCGAATCTTCCTGGATGTTTTAATGCATGGGGAAGGGGGATGAGAAAGGCCAAGAGACTGGATTCTGTCATGGGGCCCCAGGAAGCCAGCCTGAAGACTGTCATAGGACCTGCTGCCCAGCCCTGAGGAGAGGAAGGACACTTCTCCCACTCAGAGAATAGAAGTAGAGGTCTAAAGAGAGATAACTGGGCATGTCTCCTGCCACAGGGACCAGGGCTGCCCAGAACTACTGGGCTGGTGACTTACAGCAGGTCTTCTTGTTCTAAGATGTCAACATACCTCTCTCTCTTTCCAGCAAGCGTCCTTCTACCCTGATGTCAGTGAAGAGGTGCGAACCAGAGCTTTACGGTATGGCACGGAATGCACCCTGGGCTATCTGGACCTTCTGGAACATGTTTTGGTGGTAAGGAAAGGTGTGGGCAAGGTGGGACAGAGCTGTGTGTCATTGGCCCTGCCTGATATGGATGCAGACCCTCATTTCCTTAGGAACACCTCTCTTAGAATGTCCTCCTAGTATCTCTTGTGAGGATGGGACCATACTGAGCAGACAGCTCTGATCTAGCACACTGGGCAGAAAGGAAAATGCAGTGGGAATCTAAAAGAGCTGAGTTCTCTCTGACAGAGGGGGAGGGTAGGGAGAGGAGGAGGAGGAAGAGGAGGGGGAGGAGGAGGGTCAGAGCTATCCTTGAAAAGTATCAACTGAGGCTGGAGAGATAGCTTAGTTGATAAGGTGCATATTATGCAAACATTTAGACATGAGTTTGATCTCCAGCTTCCAAAGGCATCTTTTTCTCTTTCTTTCTTTCTTTCTTTCTTTCTTTCTTTCTTTCTTTCTTTCTTTCTTTCTTTCTTTCTTTCTTCTTTCTTATTTTGGTCTTTTTGAGGCAGGGTCTCCTTGTAGCCCTGACTGGCCTGGAACTCACTTTGTAGACCAGGCTAGCCTGGAACTCACAGAGATCTAACTGCCTCTGCCTCCCAAGTCCTGGGATTAAAGGCTCCATGCCCAGCTGGCATTTTTTTCTTTAAGGAACAACATACTATAGTTCCTTCTTATGCTTGGGGTATATATTCCAAGACATTGCACAGACTGTATGTTCTACACTTTTTCTTATACATATTTACCCATTGTGGTTAAATTTTAAATTAGGAACAGTAAGAGACTACCAAACAATCACTAGTAAAAAATGAATAATCATATCATAACAATGTAGTGCAATAAAAGATAGGAGAAGGGCCAGTGAGATGGCTCAGTATGTAAAGGTACTTGCTGCACAAGTCTAGCAACCTGAGTTTAATTCCCAGGAGGTGGAGGGAGCAAATTGACTCCATGAAATAATTCTCTGTCCTCCACACATGCACTGTGGCATACGTACCCACCCCACCCCCAGTAATAGAAATTTTTTTCAGTTTGTTTAAAGATACGTGAAGCCAGAAATGTCAGCACTCAGGAGACTAAGACAAGAATGTTAGAAGTCTGAGGCCAACCTCACCTACATAGCAAAACCCTGTCTCAACAAAAAAGAGCTGGGGAGATGCTCAGCGGGTAAAGTGCTTGCTACACAAGCATGAGGACCTGAGTTTAGATCCCTAGTACCCATGTTTAAAAAAAAAAAGCTGGATGGGAATGGTATGTATCTATAATCTCGACTCTGGGGAGGCAGAGGCAGGACGGTCTTGGGATCTTACTGGCCAGCTAGTCTAGCCATGTTAGTGAGCTTCAGGTTCAGTGAGATAACCCTGTCTCAAAAAATTAGCTGGAGGTGCTAGAGAGATAGCTCAGCAGTTAAGAGCACCAGCTGCTCTTGAAGAGGCCTTGGGTTTGATTGCCAGCACCTACATGGCAACTAACAACCTTCCATGACTCTTTGTTTTGAACGAATTACTATAAATATACAAGAAGTTCATGTTTCTAACTAAAAATTGTAGAACTCTAAACTGTGGGTGTTTGTCAGCACCTAAGGTCTGCTGATAAAAATAAGTTCACATCTCACACACTTAACCTCAGCTCCTTCAACAGAGCAGACCAAGAGCAAGGATGGTTGTGTGATACTGGTACCTGCAAGGTATGAAGTGGCTGAGCCAGGTGCTGGGCAATAACCCAGCAAGAAGTGGAAAAAAAATTTCCAAATGTGGCAACTATTATAACTGATAGAATCAAAATGGAAACCTGATTGTTGATTTTAAAACAGCCAAATTTTGTTTAGATTCTCTTTAGGGTAGAAGAAAAAGAATACTAAGATCAGGCTCAATATTCACAAGGGATAAAAATAAGTAATTTGGAAAACTAGAAATTTTTGATATGTCTACATGCCCTGCTTTTTACCCCATCCTCAGTCTTTACAGAAAGACCATATGTAGACAGAGGACCAAAGTGTCTCCATCATAACAAAAGTTAGTATGAATCAGAATGAACAGAGTCTAGGACAGGCTTCCTGTAATACTTGAAAAATTTATTCTTGTTCATAGAAACTGAAAAAGAATTGGTAGGATTTCTGAACACCAAGGAACGGCCTGATAATTTATTTTTTAACAACAACAAAAAATATATGGAAATTAAGATTTGAGAAAAGTATCCAGTAACCTGTAGGATCAATCTGAGATCACCTTCAGCAGGGTGCCTGGCTTGAGTTTAGATGGGGGAGTAAACTTAACCCTATTTCTGCCTTATTCAAATCAAAGACCTTAGAACCTAGGATTTACTTTTTATGACTGATGCTTCCTCCAGCATGGCCACAACTTCTAAGACCTCCCAAAACAGCAGCACCAACTGGGGATAAAATGTCCAAATATTTGGAGCTTATGGGGACATTCTCATTCAAACCACCACAGTCTCTCATATGGTTTAAAAGGGCACCTAAATTGAGAACCTCTGCCTAGAGAACCATTTTGGTTTGTGTGTGTGTGTGTGTGTGTGTGTGTGTGTGTGTGTGTGTTTCCGTGTGTGTTTTCTCCTTCTTCTGTCCTTTTCTGAGACTCTGTTCAGCTTTCAGTAAGCACAGGGCCTAATTTAGGCAGTGACCCTATTGCATCAGGAAGCTTCTGAGGTGCCTGTGGGAGCTGTGCTGGCCTCCTGATTCGTTGTGTGCTGCTTCATTCTGGAGGATTTGCTCTACAGGGAAAGACACAGCCCCTGGCCTCACAGGTCTTTGCTGTTGCAGTGCCTCCGTGGGAGATTGTGGACAGAGTTAACGTTCATTTTCACTGGCAAAACTTTAATTTTGGTCTGTTGCCTGATATTAGAAACCATGTTGACTTAATAGCAGAATTAAAAATAGAACAACTCTCCTCCTGTCTGTCTAGAGCCAAAGTATCTTAATTCTGGGCTGCTGGCTGCCTGGAAGGACTGTCTTTTCCCAGAAGTGGCACTTTCTGCATACCTCAAGGACTCTTCTTTTAGCAGCAGACATCTTTAATCATCCTACTTTGTGATTCAAGCCCTCACACCTGTAACTTTTCTCCAGCTTTAATGAGGCATAAGTAGTATAAAAAATGTGCACGTATTTAGAGTGTATGATTTGAGTATTGACACGTGAATACATACATACATCTGTAAACACACCATTATAATCAAAATAATGAATATATATATATATATATCACCCTTAAGTGTTCCAAGCAGCTGATGACCTGCTTTTTATTATTATAGATTTGTTTGTATTTTCTAGATCTTTTTTCTAAATGGTATCATGGAGTGTCTACTCTTTCAATATTTTCAATTCCATCTATATTGTCATATGTATCAATAATTTATTCCCTTTCAAGGCTAACTAATTTGTTACTATATGGCTCTTCCCTGGCATGTTGATCCATTGGCCTGTTGATAGACATTAGGATTATTTTCAGGTTTTAGATATTTACATACAAGTCTTCATGCCAGTATGCATTCAATTCTTTTGGGTAAATACCTAGAAGTGGAATGTTTGTACTGTGAAGGGCAGGCGCATTTTAACTGTTCAGAGAGCTACCTGAGTGTTTTCCACAGTGGTCGCACTATCAACCTTTCCACCAGTAGTGTCAGTTCCATTGCTCTGTATCCTTGTTACCCCTTCTGGAGTCCGATTGTTTGTTCTAAAGAGTCACAGCAGTATTACACTGATTGGGCTTTTCTTTTGTTATTTTTGTTTTGTTTTGGAGTCTTGTTGTACGGCCTCAGTGTGCCTAGAACTTGCTATCCTCCTGCATCATCCTCCCAGCTGTTGGGATTACAGGCAGGTGCCACCAAGTCTGGCCTCCCTTTGTGATTTAAATTTACATTAAGTATCTTTATTATTTGAGCATCTCATGCATGTATATAACGTGTTTTGGTCAAATTCTCCTGTTATTCCCTCCCCTCCAGTTCCTACCCTATCCCCCAACCCACTATTCCTGCCTAATTTTTTTTAAGTCTGAGTCCATTTAGTGCTGCCAGATGAGTATGGGTACAAGACCATGTACTGGAGAGTGGGTAATCTCTCAAGGCCATATCCCTGATGAAACCTGACACTCCTTTTCCCAGCAGCCATTACTTTGTGACCCCTTCCCCATCCACGCTGAGATTTTGTCTGACTTGATCTTGTGCAGATCTCGTAATTCAGTCACTGCCACTGTGACTTCATGTGTGCAATTGCCCCATTGGGTTTAAGTATCATTTTTATGTACCTGTTTGCCTTCTGTTTTCCTTGCTGGAATAGATGATGATATCTTTTCCCTTTGGGGAAATTTTCTGTTATCCAGATTTCAGGGTTTTCTATGCTTTCTTGATGTGTAATGTTTGCGTGTTCTATAGTTTCTCCCAGGGTATGACTTGTCTTTTCATTTTTCAGAACAGTGTCCTACAGACAGATGAGGAAGACATGTGTATGAAAGAAAAAGAGAAAATGGTGGCACTACAGAATTCGGGGGGAAATTAGCAGCTGGACTTAGATAAATATGCAAGTTAGGGTAAACTGATAGGAAACATTGAAGATGACTCTATGTTTCTCCTTTCGCAAATCATCAGATTAATTTTAGTATTATACTTCTGATTAATTTCTCATTTTGAATGGCGTGTTTATTCCCTGCTTTTTAACACTGCTATTGCCCTGGGTTCCATTCCTAATACCACCAAACACACACACACACACACACACACACACACACACACACAGAGAGAGAGAGAGGTCTGAGTTTGCACAGGTCAGGAGAGGGGGGAGCACACACACATACACACACACACACCACATTAAAGAGTCTTATTAAGATATAATTTACATAGAATAAAGTTTATCCTTTTATAATATATAATTAATTGAGTTTTAGTATACTTACAGGGTTGTATGACTCTCCTTACTTTGATTTTAGAATAGTTTCATCACCATACTGCTCCTGTTTTCTGTTGCCAGTATATAGATATATAATTAATGTATTTGTGTTGACTTTATATCCTATCTTCCTAAACTCGCTTATTCTGAATCTATATATCACATACATAGACTCCTTACAATTTTTATATAAATGTTTATCTGCTGTCAAAAACAATTTAATTCTCCTTTTCCATGCGTATCATCATTTATTTATTTTTCTTGCTTTGTACTGGTTAAAATTTCTAATAGGGTATTTATAGAAGTGTGAGGGAAAAAAACCTTCTTTTCTTATTCTTATCTTAGAGGACAAATACCCAATCTTTCACCATTAAATATGAGTGACCCTACCTTACTTTTGACTTATATTTATGTTCTTTTGGCCACAATGTAGAAATCAATTAACAATGCCTAAGGACTAGTTATCCACTCACATCCTGAACCATAACCGTTATTCAACTGATGGCCTTAGAACATCGTTTTAGATAAAAATGGTACAAGCTTTTTATAAGTAAGTTGTAGGAAATGCCCCCACCCAAGTCTAAAGCAATGGTTCGCAGTTATAGCTACATATAAGAACCACTTGGGATTTTCCTTTTAATCCTGATACCAGCCAGGCGTGGTGGCACACACCTTTAATCCCAGCATGCAGAGACAGGTAGATCTCTGTGAGTTCAAAGCCATCCTGGTCTATATACGGAGTTCCAGACCAACTGGGGCTACAAAGAGATCCTGTCTCCCCCCTCACCCTATACCCCCCCCACACACAAATTTTTTGTTCTGGTGCTAGAACTGTACCCAAGCAGTTATATTAGGGTCTTTCATATGTTCCATTTATATATCTACCACAACTCTATAAGGAAAGTACTGTTATACCCATTTAAAAGTAAGTAAACCAAGGCAAGCCTTAGATAAACAACTGGCTCTAGGTTATACAGGTGCATTGATTCTAGGAGCTACACTTAACTAAATGGCCTGTCCACTGGCTATGTTAGAATGCAAAAGACATTTACCATCTTTTCTCCGATGACTGACTTCCTATGGCTCTAGTGCTCTATTGGAATTGGTCTAGGAAACTATCATTAGGCATTGCCTCAGTAGTGTGTTGGTTTTTCACTCATTTGTTCATTTTTTCCACTCATTCCCAGGTCTATATTGATATCTCAATATCTGATATATACACATTTGCATATAAATATCAGTACACATACACACACAGAGATATTTCTATCACCATTATCCTGTTCTCACTGGATTCAAATCTCTTGACCACCTAAGTAATCATCTAGTTATAGACTCTTCTTCATTGACCTGTGTGTCTATAAACCAATATTGTGTTGTCTTGATTACCACATAATCAATTATTGGTCTTTGGGGAATTAGCAATTATTGGTCTTTGGGGAAAAAATGAAAGTAACAGAGCAGTTGGAATCTCAGAACATTAGCACATGCTAAAAAAAAAAATTAAAAAAAAAAGTAAAATGTTACCAGAGGGGCTGGAGAGATGGCCCAGCGGTTAAGAGAACATACTGCTCTTGCAGAGGACCTGAGTTCAGTTCCTAGGGCTCATGCTGAGTGGCTCACAACCACCTGTAACTGCAGCTCGGAGATCCAGCACCTTCTTCTGTAAAATGTTGCTTAAAAGGTTATCAGAGGAAGGAAGATAAGGAGAGATGCATGTGAGGTAATACTGAAAAATTATTGGCTCATCAGTTCAAGTCCTCTGGTATGTTTGGGGCTGGGCACAATGTAACCCATCAATTCCTATAACCCGTTCTTATTTATTTATTTATTTATTTATTTATTTATTTATTTTTAATTAAGTGTCCCTTAGGGACATGATGTAAAAGGGCCTAAGGTCCAAGAACCATCTTTTCCATACTTCTGAGAAAGGCCATGTTACCTGGCCAAATGCAAAACAGTGTGGGACACCAAGAAGAGATCCTTGATGAATGTTCTGGACATTGGATGAAATGTTTCTCATGGTCAGGTGGCCAGATGCAAACACGGGCTTGTCCAACTCCAAAGCCCATGCTTGTCCTCAACTCAGAGGCTCCAAGATCGTTCACATATGGGCAACAGTTGTGCTTTTATTTTTTTTAAATATATTTTTTAATGTGTATAAATACTTCACCTGCATGTATATAAACGTACCACATGCATGCAGTGCCCAAAGAGGCCAGAAGAGGGTGTCAGATCCCCTGCAAATAGAGTTACAGATGGTTTTTAGTCAACAAATGAGTGCCGGAAACTGAGCCCAGGTCCTCTGGAAGAGCAGCCAGTGCCATCTCTCCAGCCCCAAGCAGTTGTACTTTTCAAGCTGACCATCTTAACATGTCAGAATCTAAAATTTTCCATTGTGGAACATGGTGAAGAGATTAAAGAAATTGTGTTAGAAGAGAATTTCAAAATAAGGAAGGGTCAGGATGGTGCACCTCAGAATTTAAATTCATAGTGGGAGATGGTAAACAGCCTTCATCTCAGTTCTGTTCTGTTCTTAAAGGAATTTGAGAAGAGATCAGCTGAAGATAACCTTTACACAAAGATATCCTTTGTTATTTGGGGATTCTAGTATCTTTTTTAATACCATTAAAAAAAAAAATCTTGAAAACCTTTGGGGCTAGTAAGATGGTTAGCAAGTAAAGGCACTTGCCACCAAGCCTGACAATCTGAGTTTAATCCCCAGATCCCAAGTAGTAGAATGAGAGAACCAAATAGTTCAAGATTTCCTCTGATCTCCACATGTGCACACACATACACACACAATAAATAGATATAATAATTTTTTTAAAACCTTGAACTAGGTCAAAAGAAGGAGCATCAGGACTTTCTACAGGGCCACTTGTGGTCATATCCTGTTGGCTCAGGAACAGTTCTTCTGAACAGTTAGCTCTTACTCATGTGGGGATTTTACCTGCAAGCCAGCAAGCTCCCCCCATCCACCTCACACATTTTCTCTGTTCCTGTGTTTGTTTTGTCTTAAGTCTAAGCTGACCCTTAGCCTGGAACTTGTGTATTCACTCACACTGTTCTTCTATATAATTTTTTTATTGTTGTTTGGGTTTTTTTTTTTTTTTTTGGTCTTTTTGAGACAGGGTCTCCCTGTAGCCCCAGCTGTCCTTGAACTCACTATGTAGACCAGGCTGGCCTTGAACTCACAGAGATCCACCTGCCTCTGCCTCCCAAGTGCTGGGATTAAAGGCGTGCGCCACCATGCCTGGCTATAATTTTTACATTTGTATATTTGTTTCTCCTAAAAATAAAAGTAGAAATAAAGAACAAACAAGCATCTCCTTTGTGATCTTTGGTACTATGTCTGAAGGGACCATAAGAGGCCGCCTTGATTCCCAACTTTACATTTGTCATTGAAACCCAGTGAGTCTGAAGTGTTTTCCCTCAAGAGCTTGATATCATCAAAGATATGTCCATATCCACCAATAGAAATGCACCTTCTGTCACAGCAGTCACCCTTCTCCTCATGTATCTGCTTTGTTCTTCATCCATAGATCCTTCAAAAGCCAACCCCAGAACTCAAGCATCAGTTGGCTGCTTTCTCCAAGCGAGTCGCTGGTGCTGTGACAGAGCTCATCCAGGCAGCGGAAGCCATGAAAGGTAGGTCAGGGCCTCACATTGTCTTTAGCATCGTGCTAGGACATAGGAATAACATAGGTCCTTCCTTGGCAGATGCAAGTAAGAGTTCATAAAGAATAAATGAAGGTACTGGGGAGATGGCTCAGTGGTTAAGAGCACTGGCTGCTCTTTCAGAGGACCTGGGTTTGGTCCTCAACACTCACATGGCAGCTAACACTTGTCCTTAACTCCAATTCCAGGGGATCTGACACCGTCTTCTGGCCTCCCTGGGTACCAGGCATGCATGTGGTACACTTACATACATGCAGGCAAAAAAACTCATGTACATAAAATAAAGATAAATTCTTTTTAAAAAGAAAAAAAGAATAAATGAAGCATAGAATCCGTTTTTAAAATGTTTCAAGTAACTTGGCTTTGCTCTGGTCTTTGTAGTGAGTACTGCTGCTAAAGTCTGTCTCCAACTCTTCACTTCTCTAGGGAATCTTACCAATTATTTTTAGCTGCATTGTATTCAAGAGCCAGGCCTGGTGACAACAGGCCTATAATCCCAGCTATGCAGAGGCTCAGGCAGGAGGATTGCAAGTTCAAGACCTAACTAACTGTGCTACAGAGCAAATTGAAGACCATACTTGGCTATTTGCAAGACCCTTTCTCAAAAAGTAAAAAGGAAAGATTGGGAAGGGGAGCTAGGAATAGAGCTCAGCAGTACAGTGCTTGTCTAGCATGTACAAGGCCCGAGTTTCAGTCTACAATAATGACAAAAAATTAACAGTAGTAATAATAATCTCATGTATGGAAAATAGTGCTGAGTACATTGCATACCCTTCTTGTTCACAGAGAAGTGGTTGACTCACCAGGGAAAGTCTTTTCACTTTGAATTGAAGTGACTGTTCCTAATGCTCCCTTGAGAGAATGGTAAAGCTGTGTGACACAGAGTCCCCTGAGGATACCACTTTGACTCATGAGCTGTATGTTAGAAGACAAGAGTGAGCTCAAGCCTTGGTCCATGAGATCTGGATTTTTGAAGCTATTATTGATGCCCATTCCTACAGATAGGACTATGCAGAAAAACAGATTAGCTCCCTGCTAGTCCTACATTCAGAGGATGAGAGAAAGCTAGAGGGTTCCCTCATGCAGATATTAGACTCATAGGGCTTTCAGAATGCAGTTTTAGATTTTGTTTGCAATTAAGCCAATGCCCTCATGTCTGCACCTACCAAGAATGACATTTTTTGGACTGATTTTAGGAACAGAGTGGGTAGATCCAGAAGACCCAACCGTCATTGCAGAAACTGAATTACTGGGGGCTGCAGCATCCATTGAGGCTGCTGCTAAGAAGTTAGAGCAACTGAAGCCAAGAGCAAAACCAAAGGTGAGTATTCATTGGTGACTGCTTGTCTTGTGACTGTCTTCCAGTGGGTGGCTGTGAAATGGAGCTAAGTTTACTGCATAGAGCTTGTCTCCTCTCCTTCTTGGTGGTTATACCAGGACGCAGCAAACCTGTTCTACATGCCTGGTACCATTTTATAGAGTGTGGAAAAGAAGGGAGTGAGTCAAGCAAATTACCAAGAAAAATACATATCTGGATATTTATTTAGAGGAAGAAACAGAGTAATTCTACCATGTAAAGCAGGTTGTAGATGCCTCCTGCCTGAAGTTCCTGTTGTCAGCCCTGAGTTCACTAGTTTCCATTTACAGAGACATAACAATGCTGGGTTTCATGTTTTCTTAGAAACAACAGGGCTGAGAAAATGACTAGGTCAGTAAAGTGCTTACTGTAAAAGCATAAAGACCTGAATTCAGATCCCCAGTACCCACATCAAAAGCCTGTAATCCCAGTATTGGGGAGGTGAAGGTAGGTAGATGGGAAGGCTCCTGGGGTTTGCTGGCCATCCAGTCTAACTGAATTGGTGAACTCCAGGCTCAAAAAGAAATGCTGCCTCAAAAAAATATATAAGGTGAGGGCTGCAGAGATTGCTCAACAGTTAAGAGTACTTGCTGCTCTTCCAAAGTACTTGAGTTCAAGTTCCAGCACCCACATCAGGTAATTCACAACCATCTGTAACCCCAGCTCCAGGGGATCTGAAGTCCTGTTCTGGCCTGTGTGGGTACTGTACTCATACAAGCTTGCCCACACAGACACAACAATTAAAATAAAAATAAATTTAAATATATTTGTACAGTGAAAAATATGGTACAGAAGCAAACATGAGCACACATACCCCAAAAATAGAGACCCAGTAGCAAGATTATTTCAGTGTATACTGAAGACTGTGTAGTATGTTTTTTCTGTAAGTTACGTGATGATTTTAAGGAGAGATTCTTGATTGAGATGGTGAGCCAGTCTGCAGGGTCAGGTCCAGTCTTGGTAAGCAGCTGTAACCTCCCACCCAACCCCTTGGCCATCTTAAGTAGGAAGATAAAACCAGAGGAGGCTTAATTTCTTCCTGTCTAAGGAAGTCTTTATGGGTGCCTGTAGTGTTAATGTCCCTTCCAAGGACCCAAATACATTGGGAAATGAAATATGGCTCTTTCCTTAAAAAAAAAAAAATGTTGGTAAAGACCGACATGAGGGCTGAAATGTACCAACCCATTCAAAAGCAGGGCCCTGGCTGGTGTGTATACAACAGATACAAGGGTAATGAGTCCGCTAAGGCTAGGAGCTTTTTTTGAAAGTCTTTGAGCCTAGACCTGGACTCGTGATCATTGCCCTAGATTTGGTAAACACATTTCAAATTTTCCTCAAGATGTAATTTGAGATTTTTGACCTCTGATTTTTGTGTTTGCTAGGGTTTCGCTGCTGACCTTCTGAGTGTCTCAGGTTGTCTAATATTGTCGGAGTTTTTCTTTTAAAGAAATAAGATCTAAGAGTGGGTTAAGGACAGCTGCATTTTCTGGTCATGTTTTTGTTTCTGCTTTGTAAATCAAGTTAATCATAGATGGAAATTGTAAACCAAGTTAATCATAGATGGAAATTGTACTTGAAACTTAAGAATCTTGGGGCTGGAGAGATGGCTCAGGTATTAAGAGCACATACTGCTCTTACAGAGAATTTGAATTTGGTTCCCAACACCCTCATCAAGCAGCTCACAACTGCCCGTAATTCCCACTCTGAGGGATCCAAAAACTCTGGCCTCTACAAGAACCTGCACTCACATGTAATTACCCATATACAGACATACATATATACATGTAATTAAAAAATAATGAAATCTTTAAAAAATAAACCCTAAGAATCTTAAACTAAGATTTAGGGTTTGGTTCTTAGTTTGCTTGTCTTTTTGCTTGTCCATTCTATCACATGAGGCCTCTTCCCACAGTGGGAAGTGCTAATGCCCAACGTTGATCAGCCAATACCTTCTGTCCGCTGGAGAAGGAAACTACTTCTCTTGTAACACCAACACGCTACCATATTCTAAGAGTTTCCACTCCAGTCCTTCTCTGGGGTCCTTCTGAGATCTTATCTGTCTCAACCCTAGTTTCATGATTTTAACTTCATGATTCTTGATTTGAAAAACACATACTAGAGCTTCCAGCCTGTAGGATTGTTGTTAAAACATTTAAGTAGATAATTCGAGAGTACAGTACCTAACAGAAGACTCAGTAAATGGTTTGGAACTTTTTTTTTTTTTTGAGTCAAGGTCTCCCCAGCTGGCCTAGAACTTGGTATGTACGTACCAGGCTGACTTCAGTCTCACAGAGATCTGCCCACTTCTGCCTCTCAAGTGCTGGGATTAAAGGCATGTGTCACCACACCTGGCAAGACTCAATAAATTATTATGTCACCATCACTGTGACCAAAAATATGCCTATGAGACCTTTATCCTTTATCTTAGGAAAATGTGTGAAAGAAAAAGTCCTCCATAGGTAACTAGAGGTATAGGAAGTAGACAAGAAGGCCACATTGAATATAAGGTATGTGCCAAGCCAGTCTTCTAAATACTTAACAAGAATTAACTCATTCATCTGGCCCTTGAAGAATTGGGTACCTAGAGGTGAATGACCTTGCCTCAGTCAGACCATATGACTGAGCAAAGAAGGAACATGTGGCCACCAGGAATGGCAGTTTAGTATATCCCATTCCCTGTTGGTCCCCATTGGCAGAGAAGACTCTGATCCCTCAGGGCCATTGTAGTTTACATGTGCCCTTTAAACTGTTAATCCTACCTCTGGGTTCTAGTCCTAAGGAAGAAAACCAAGACCAGAAATAGTATGTGTTTGAGAGGGCTGTTCTTGAAGCCTCATTTATAATAACAAGAAGCTGGGATCTCCTTGAAGGAAGACCATTAAGCCTTCACAGCAATAGACAATGGCTGCCAGGACTTTATAGCATGCAGTTGCTCATGGAATGAGGTGAAGTGGAGAAATGATACAAATTTATGTACCCATGGTTACAACTATGTAAAATAGTACTTGCAAGTGGAAGAGATCAACAGAGAATGTGTATAAGAATAAAGATGGAACTGGGCTATGACAAGGTCTGTGTCAAGTTTTAGAAACACTGTTTGCAAACCAACATACATTCAGTAATGATGACTGCTAATGGAGACTAGTGGGAACTGTCTATACCACACTGTAATTGCTGTAGTGGTTTTACTGGAGAGCAATGGAATCCTTCAGAGAAGGTGACAGTTAACACCATTGATGATTTGACTTCCTTACTTAACGGTGACTTCAGATGACTTTCATCCTCACATTAGAAAGAGTGATTGGTACTTCTAGAACAGTTTAGAATGATCTTCCTGATGACCATAAACAGGATCCTGCCACATGGGTATCATCCATTAAACTGGAAGAAACCATCCACGCAAAGCATGCTTTTGGTGTCTAAGATCCACTTTGTAAAAACTATTGGACAAAATAAAATATCCTCCTTGCCTTTATGAAGGAATATTTCCTCAGCCTAAAAAATAATTGAATACCTAAACTGACTGACCAGTATTTTGAGGTTACTTTTCTCTATCATCTCCTATAACATTTTTTTTAAGTGCTCAGGTACCATAAATAAACAGTGGCTGTTAATTCTCATCACTCTAATTCTGCCTGCCACCTCACCACAATTTCACATGCATGCCCTTCATAACCAGGGAGCATTCGCACTGCTTTGAGAAATAGTTTTGGAGAGAGAGGGTGATGATGGTTCAAGTAGCTCTGCTTGCCTCATTCTCAGGTTACCTGTTTTGGTTTCATTTCGTTTGGTTTTGGTTTTGGGTTTTGCTTTTTTTTTAATGTGTATGAGTGTATTGCCTGCATGTGTGTAAGTGTACCCGTGTCATGCAGAGGCCACAGAGGCCAGAAGAGGGTGTCAAATTCATTGTTAGTCACCATGTAGGTGCTGGGAATTGAATCCAAGTCCTCTGGAAGAACAGCAAGTGTTCTTAATTGGGTTACCTGTTTTAAAATGAGAATGGTCAATGGTTTTTGCAAATAGTCCTCATATAGTCCCACCCTCAGGCCCTGACCATTTAAACATCTCCTTTTTCCTGTAATCTTTCAGAGAAATGAACAGATACACGGAATCCCCTATTCTGTTGGGAAAATGGTGTAAGGGCACAGTGAGAGTGTCCCGGGCTCAGAGCATGTACCAAGAGTGTTGCTAATAGTGCCGCCGTTTATACACCTTCAAACACACCTCCAAAGGCAGGCTGGGAGATGCTGCAGAGGTGATTCTCCCCTGTAGCCATAGCCTTCAATACTATGCCTATTCTCAAGCTCAATCAAACCTGGATGCCTTTTCTGCAGGCCTCTGTGTGATATGTTTGATATATTAGGTTGTTATTTAATCCAACTATATATCAAACATATTCCTACAGTGTCTTGCCCTGTCTCCGGGGGTTCCTAACAAAGTTAGAAGGGAACAGGAAAGAATATGTTAAGAATCACAAGTAGATTTAAAAATGGAGTACTCATTTTGTTATGTTTCATTCCATTTCTCCTTTTAGCCTTTAAAGACCTGTGTATTATTTCTTTTCTGTTGCTGTGATAGGATGCCCTGACAAAAAAGCAACCTAAGGGATAGAGGATTTATTTTGGTTTACAGTTACAGAGAGGATACAGTCCATCATGGTGGGAAGAGAGTGAGGCTGGCCTGGCAGCCAGGAAGCAGAAAGAAACCAGGAAATGGGGCTAGGCTAGAAACCTAGCCCCTCAAAGCCCAGTAGCATACTTCCTCCAGCAAGACCCCACCTCCTAAAGGTTGCATAACCTTTCCAAAGAGCACCACCAGCTGAAGACCAAGGGTTCAAACACATGAGCCTATGGGAGACATTTCATATTCAAACCACAATAACTTGTTTTACCACATAGTTAGTTTATATAAAAACAAATCATAATTCTTGATGCTTCTTCAGAGCTTGAGATATTTTATATAGC